TACCCGTGTGGGGGCGCGCTCATATGATTGGCTTATAATGAAGGAGCTGTCAAGGCGATTGCATGGCAGAGCGTGAGTGAGGTTCTTTGAAGAGGCGCTGCCAGGCCGGGCTTACAACTGAAGGCTAAGCCAGGAACTGCCGTGCCAGTGCAGGCACACACACATTTCACTTGTGCCAACAAGGGCTTTCACGTCTTATTTCTGGATTTTTCATTTTTGCAGCATGATCTAGAAATCCCTCAGAGTACATTTGATTATTTCACGGTGTACAATCATTATTTGTGAGGTTTATTGTAGCATCTTTCCCTGTTTTTTCTCCCCCCTCCTCACAGCTGTTAAACCTCTGCACTCAAGCACCAGCAAAGAAATACAAATTCTTCATTTCTTTTGTAGAAAGTTTCATATACATCACATATGTTGTCTTGAAAGAGGCATTTCGATTCAAAATTGAACTTAATATACTCTTACTATATTCTTGTTGTTTATACCCAAAGTATTTAGTTATAGTATGTGAATTAACATAATATTTTAGAGACATAAAAAAGTAACCTTGGGTGTTTAACACAAAACACTCTTAACTGAAAACCACCAAAATGTCCCAGCTGAATGTAAAGGTGACAGGTGAAATAGCAGATTGCCTTTTTATTTACCTTGTGCAGACATAGAAAGGTGTTAAGAACATCAGTTTTGTAAATGCAAATGTCAGAGATGTTGTGACGCCTGCATTACCGGCAGCTTGACAGAAAGCAGCTTAAAATGATGCTGCGACGTTTAACTTTCTAAGTCCTCTGGCCTTTGCATGAACTTTTCTGTACTTCTAAACTTCCCACCCTCAATGTGACATTCAGTGTCAGCCGTTCTCCCATTTCAGCCCCCCTCACCCCCCCCCCCACGCAGCAGCTGTTTGAGCAGACTGAAGCCGGTGAGGTTGAATCCTGCTGCTCCTCAGCCAGATATTAACCAATTTGCTTTAATCCTTGGCCATTTAAGATAAACCCCCCAGGGGAGCAGCATTGATCTGTGCAGAATAACGTAGATCAATATCTGATTTCCATTCGTTTACTGTCACAGGAGGAGCATGGGATCAAGGAACCAGTCACTCAAACTTTTATCAGACCGTTTAGAGGAAATACTCACAGGGACAGGCTCCTGCCAGCTGGCCCCCACTATGGAGGGTCTGATGATGGCGATGTTGAGCTTGTCCTGCTCCTGCTGCACCACACACTCCGCCAGGGCTTTGGTGTAGGTGTACGTGTTGGGCCGGTCCCCGATGAGCCGCGGCGTGATGTCCCGCACGATGCTGTCATCCATCCACCTAAAGACACACAGAAGAGTCAGAGGAACGTTCCTCTACACTGTGCCACACTGTGGTATTATTGTATTCTATGTTGATCATTGACTGATATCTGCATCACATTACATTTAGCTGTCATCCAAAGTGACTTAGGATAATGGCATTTAACCATATAGGAACAAACTCAAAACAACAGGAACCCTGCAGGTACATTAGCTTTCATAAGCCACACCATTGTAAGTGCTCCTGCATTGGCTTCACTTAGGACAAACCCATCTAAGTGTTATGCTCGGGAAAAGGTTTTCTTTTTCAAGGTGCAGTCGAAACAGGTGGTTTTTGGTCTTTGTCGGAAGATGTGTAGACTTTCTGCCATCCTGATAGTCAATGTGGAGCTTGTTCCACCAGTTTTACATTATTATTATTATTATTTACAGCATAAGGCGTGTGTGGGAACATCCAAATGAGCATGGTTTTATGAATCAATCAATCAAGTAATTGATACAGTAGCTCTCTTGATACTAACGTTTAAAACAGATGTATGGAAGCCCTGAGAGCAAGACCTTTTTTTCTGGTGAACCCTTATCTAAGTCAGTGTTTTCTTTTTTCTTTGACAGAATAATTTTTGCTTCATTATTCCAAGTGAATTTAGGCCTATGCTCACTATAATATAAAGTCATTTCCATTAAGTTCACAAGGCTTAGACTGGATATCAAACTTGATACTGATGGAAACCTGAGTGGAATTGAGTAATGAAATGTCTAGAATCATAGTTCTGATCTTCTTTGGTCATGCTTAGCAATTTCATTTATTCAGAAATGTCCTGACATAATAAGGAAATCAGGAAAATACTGAAGTAAACCTGAATTTTAAATAATAAAACACGTATAAGTAATTGGGGGAGTTCATATCATCATATCCCATATAGAGTATGAATGAAACTGAAATAGAATTGATTCCACGTCCTCTGGGCACCAGCCCTTCCTCTACTCACTCGAGAGAGTCGATGAGTTTCTTGGGCTCGACGGGTGGCGGGTAGATGACCTCGTCGATGTGCTTGCGGTTGCAGTTTGCATAGGCCGTGGAGATGTGAACGAAGGCCTCGAGGTGCTGCATCTGCTTGGCCAGGCTGAGGAGCTGCTGGGTGGCGATCACATTCAGCTGCAGGGCGTGTCTGCGGGAGAGATACACATCGTCAAATAGTGTGTGTCTGTGTGGGAGGGGGGGGTGCAAATCAGTGTGTGAGGGGGAGTGAAAGGTTTGTGTGTGCTTATGTGTGTCAGGAAAATGAGATAAAAGGTGTGTGTGTATTTGCCCGACTGCTAATATCTCTGTTTGAGCGTTTGCATGCAAACACATTTGTGTTTGCTGACTACTGAGTGTTTTCCATTCAAAAGAGAATTTGCAGACTTTTAGGAATTCACTGAACATGATCAGAAGCCGAGAGGGAGGAAGACGAGTACAAAAACAAGATGAGGGAAACATCTGCTCTCCGTATTATTGTGTTGGTATCATCATTATTTTGACTGAACACAGTTTCCAGCACATTTGGCTCTCATTTAGCCGTGAGCACTTAAACAAACACTTGATGTAAAGTACAGCAGTAATTAACTTTCATAAATCTAATTTCTACATCAGAATAGAAGTCTGTTCCTCTTCTGCTTTTAAAGTACAATGTTTAAAGTCGATTTTGAGCTATGGATATAACTGACCAATCAATTCTGCCGCATCAGTGGGGGCGATCCACGCTGTCAAACCAAGCGTTACTAATTTCCCTATAAACTGCATGAATAAATGACGACGGCATTACACATTGTGAAGAATACAGAGGGAGCCGAAATAAAGACATAGCATAGACGTGTGGGAGGTAGATAGAGAACATGGCTTAATTATGTGAGGGAATAACCTGTAGTTCATTTTCTCTTAACGAATAATCACCAGGTTCAGACATTTCTGAAAATTGTGATTAACACAAAAGATGATTCATCCATTATAAGATTTGTTGTTGATTTATATAAAGTAGAAAGAGAGAGTACTGTCTTTGGTGAAGTAGAAAAGCAGACAAGTCACATGAGTCACAAAACTAAAAACAGAGAACATATACAAAACAGAAGCATATCAAAAATAAAAATTAATCTCAGAAAATGTAGACACTAAAGACTAAGACCGGGTTACAAAAGTTAATGCCATGAACATGTATAGCTATCTAGTATATACTGTACACATCTATTAACTATACAGTAATCTACTATCTGTTGATCTACTGATAATTGTTTATGCAACAGTTAAATAAATAGTTTAGTGGAAAAGAAGAAGCACATTTAGCCAGCTATTATCCTGACAACAATTCTGATTAAAGGAGCACAATTATTTCCTAAAAAAAGAGTTTCTGCTTCTGACTTTATCCAGACTCTTGCATGTTTAACACTCTGATGGCAACACGCAGCAACAGATCCAGTAACAGAAAGCACATCAGCGTTCAGACTAAATTCTCCCCCAAGGCGACAATAAGAAAACCGAGGGTCAGTTGAAATAGATGCTGTGAGATAGAGTGCTCCTCTGGCTGTGTGGGTGGTGCGACAGGAAGAGTGAGTATGGAGAGAGTGTGGCGGGGGGGCGGAGAGTCCACCAGCATGAATCAGAAGTGGTGAGGTGGTGTCATCTCGTCAGCGACAGTACAGATAAATAAAAAAGGGAAGTGTTGACATTCATATGGAGGGTGGTGTCGGTTATTAGAGCAGCTCTGTGCGTGTGGGCGTGTCCTCCTCCCACCACCTTCTGGGACTTGATGATGGATGTTACACAGACAGGAAGTGATGAATGCACCGCTGTGACGCTTCCTGTGTCTGATTCACTACCTCATCGCTTCAAAAGTATAAATATGAATTGATACATATTTGCACTTATTTTTGTAGTTTTTGCCATCATTCCATATAGTGCTCCGATCAAATACTGAGATCTGGGAACATAACTGCAACAGGTTGTAAAATAAAAGCTAGGAAATATTTTACAAAAAAGTATGTGCTGCTACTTTACAAGCCTTGGTTTTATTCAGAAATGTCCCATCTTTGAAATATTCTTGAAATAAACAGGAGGGGTTTTCCTCTTCAGGCCAATACAACATAATCAAAATGTCAATCTTAAAAAAGTGGATTAGTCATGGTTCCTGTCACCAAGATAAATCTGCTTTTTGAAATACCACTTAATACCTATTTGAATGATTATATTCTCCAAAGCATGAAAGCTTAGGGACGTTATGGCCTACAATGATATATTATAGTATCATATTTACATAAGTACTTCTCGGCAATAATTCCTATTTTTCCCAATAAATCTGGCTAAATAAGAGGTTTATTTAACTATATTTACTTTAGTTTTCATAAGAGGGTCATACATTTAACATTCTCACGTTTCTGGGTGACGAACATGGCTTCAGAGAAGACGGCATGATGTAAGACTCAGACTAACTTTTGATAATTAGGTCTGACCTTTCTTCAAAAGTAGGTTGTGTTTCCGACTCTTGGTGAGTACAACGGTATTATAAGCAGAAATAAATGATGGCCACAGCTAGAAAAATAACATCCACGTTCTGACAAACAGGAATCATCCTTTAAACACGGATAAAGTCTGGAGTCTGCAACCTTTATCAGAGGAGTTTGATTTATGCCCCGACCTGGCACATGAGTAATGACTCTGAGAGATGACTAAGAAGGAAAGGATGAGAGAGAAATGGGAGTGAAAGCTAGATAAAAAGGGGTAAAAAAAGAAAAAGGGTGAAGGCCACTCAGAGAGAAGATTGAAGCTGAAGAGGAAGAGATGAGACAGAAAGTGGAAGCAGATCTATAAAGCTGTGAGGGAGCAGTGGAGCAGCTCCACCCTCACCGAGCACTGACTCCATCCTAATGTGTGTCCTGCCTCCAAACACACACGGAGCACGAATACCTTGTGTTTGTGGGTGTTTCCTATTTTTGTTGTTGTCAGTTGTTACAATTATAAAACCTGATGAACTTAATTGTAGCTTTGATGACAACAGGTTGCGAGTATAGCTTTATATTTAATGTCCTGTGCTACCCTGGGACTTCAAGGTCCCCTATTATACTGTGTTTCATCAATATATTATAGGTCTCAGATATATACAAACGTGTCTCTGAAGTGTTTGGCTCCAAAAACCAAACAGATCATTTCATCCCATAATCCCCTCTGGTTCAGCCCTGTTTCCAAAGTGTTGATTCTCTGTCTGTTACTTTAGATGGAAATAAGGAGCCCCTCCCCACGCCCCTCTGAGAGATATTTGGTTATAAAGAACACAATGGTGCTCTGGAGGAGATCCAGGTGATATTACCTTGGTTGGTGATTGGCTAATGGTTATTGCAGCCAAAAAATCGTTATGACATCATAAAGTTGCCAAAATCTTATCAGCTCATTTTCAGACAGGTTTTTATAGAAATGGATCAGGACAAAAAGTGAGCAAATGTTTTTTTCTGAGGGGACACATGTTTATGTATAAAAGACATCAACAAGTGGATTTTGCATAATAGGTGACTTTTAAGTGTGTTTTTAGTTATTGGAGATACTTAGACTTTATGTAAAGCATCTCGAAAAGTGCTCCATTGATACAAATATATTATTATTATCATCATCTTTCACAGGCAGTAATTATGTATTGAGTCCAACATCCACCTTCCACTTTTTGGGATTTTTTGAAAGTTCATGAGCGGAATAAAAGGCAAAGTCTTCTTCATTTAACTTTGTATAACTTTCCCTTAAATGTATAAAAGAAAGTTATACTTTATTACACTTATTACCTGCTTATTTGGAAATAGCTGGATAGAAATGATTCTATAATATTGAGGTAGTTTACTACCGTAGTTTACTTACTGAGGTAAATGCTACGGACATTTGAAATGTTTGACTTGCTATTCATCCCCTACAATGAGCTATCTACCTGCGATTTGATTTGCCAATGTATGATAATGCATGCATTTTGATTTCAAAACCATAGATGGAAAATATTTCCCAGACTTGGTCAAACGCGTTATGAATTATGAACAAGACCATTTCTAAGTGAGTTTTGGATCAGGCTGCTTGGCTTCATTTGAATGAACGACTTGTTACTGTAGTTTCAATTTGTTTAAACTAGATGTTTTGGTCAGAGATGGTCTTAACAGAATGAAACCCTGAGGGCAGTAGGATGGAGCAGCGCTGGTTACATGACACAAACTTACTGGACCAAACAGCTGTATCATCATCGCATCATCCACAGAAGGAAAGGATATAACTAGGGCCAACATTACATATGCAGTAATGCACTGTCCTGACCAGGATCCAATCACAGCGCAGGAGCCTGAGGCAGCAGCAGAGTGACGACACACCGTCCACTACATGTACCGGGTGGGAAGTCATCACCGGGTTCACCCCATATAGATTAAAATGAACAAGTTGAAGTTCTTTTCACAAACTACAGGGTTGTATCTAAAAATAATCTGCCATCACACCTATTAGGATCACAGAATTGTCTCTACATCCTACGTGTCTCATTCTTATCGTCTAAATTCAATATATTCTGGGTTTATCACACTTTTCTTGAAGAGTGTTGCCCTCTCAAAAAAGAAGATAATATAATATATTTATCTAAATGTTATAAATTTACAAGACAGGGGGATAACTTAACCTTCTTCCTTAATAGTTCCTACTGTAGTTTTTATGGTGAGGTGGTCAGGATTACTAGAAAGATGTGGAAATGAATTTTAAATATATTTCTCGATCTTGACAAGATGTTTTGATAAATAAAATAAAATACTATATGGTTCAGTTCCAGATACCTGTGACTAAATGTGTTTCTGGCTTTGCAGATACACTGTGATCTCTAAGGTGCAATGCACATGTCTAAATGATCAATTGAGGCATCATTTTTTGAAATTGCACTATAGGACATTTTAGGTTTTTCACAATGTTTTGTAAAAATATAGATAATTAAATATATAAAACCTTTTCAGAATGTACCTTTTTGCACTAAAACAAAGGGAACAATTTAGACTTGTCGTTATTAATAGGTTATTACGCTATGAATTTACTGGTCCAGACCACTTGAGCTCACATTTGTGCCCCTGCACTTAAATGAGTTTGACACCCCTGAGATTAGAAGTAGAATCCGTGATGGGACACAGGGTATGTTTGTGTGTTTGTATGAAGGAGTGATGCTGAATGTGGTGATTTGTGTTGATGCATTAAATCTGGAGGTGTGGTCCTCACTTGAGCGGCTCGTCGAAGCGGATGGTGGCGGCGCAGTGGAAGACCACGTTGATGCAGGCGGAGAGCCTCTCCACGTCCTCGGGGCTGATGGCCAGGCCTGGCTGCGTCAGCTCGCTGCTGATGGGGATGATCTTCAGGTGGAAGTCGGGGTTGACCTCACGCACTCGGTCAAAAAGCTGCCCGACAGAAAACACAGAAAGAAAAGGATGAGATCAAAATCTTACATCAGCATTGGCAAATAAATAAATAGAGTGACAAACTGAAATGCCACTTATTATTATTCCCATATTACACAAGAGCCTGAGAGCACATCAACTATGAAAGCTGCCTGACGCGTCGACAGCAAATGTGTTGCTTTGCATAAAATCCCTCAGATAAAAATCACGTCAAGATTCACCACCAGATTTGTTTCTGATCCGATGTGTCTGTCCTGTTTTGATTTATGAAAACCATAAACATATGTGTCATCAAACAAAGGCATCAGTCAACAGTGATCCACAGTGTTTCAGGATTCTGCTCCTCCACACTGACAGTGTTTTAGTGGTGGTAGCGATAAAATGATCCGTCAAACTACAGAAAAGTAAGAGTCGGAATTACAAATCCTCTTTTAAATAAAAGCAAAACTGTTCTTACAGAAACAACTGCTTTCATTTTTACATTTTGTACAATTTTTAAACATATTTGGTCATTATTTTACATTTAATTGACTATAATTAATCTAGTGAGACTGAGTAAGGATGGAAATGATTGTTAGTTGGAGTCATAGCAAGATATGATACATTACTACTTAATAGATCGAGAAATGTAGTACATCTAGTAGTGCCATAAAGCAGTCCAGCTTATAGAGGCCAAATCATCCAAAGAAAAAATATCACCATTTATTTGACCTCCATCCCTATACATTTCTACCAAAAATATACCAAACAAACAAAAAGGACTCCCTTGAATAAAGGACTGAACACTCGCCCCTCTGTTCAGTGAAATCGGAGAGGGAAATTAAACTCTTATATGCGAGATGTGGGCTGCAAGGAATGATTACTTTTCCTGTTAAGTCGGCTCGTTTTATCTGATGGAAAGTCCAGAACTGAAAGATACTCAATTCAGAATAATCTTTCATCACAAGTGTGTGAGCAAATCATGCACTACATCACCTTGTTTAACCCTATACTGTATATGAAGCCTCTCTTACGTGTATTATTCCACCTTTTACACTGCTGACGACATTCCAACATGGAGGGGGAATAAGTCATCTAGATTTACCAGCTCATGTCTCACACAAGCCTCACCGTCTGACACCCTGCAGACACTAAAGCACTGCACCCCCATCCCTACAGGACTTTTATCACTGTGTAATACAGGGAGACACTGAGCAGAGGCAGCAGAGAAAGTCAGCTAGATGTCAAATTGGGTCATGCATTTCTTTGTGCAGTTCCTTTCCAGTGTAAGAGATGACGACAGATAGTAAGAAATGGCATGAGAATAAAAAAAGGGTGAATAAGAGAGGGAGTTGGCATCAAAGTGTATGCTCCCCCCTTTATAAGATTGCAGCTCTGTGTGTGTCAGCTGTCCTCTTTCTGAGGAGGACAGATGTTGAGTTAAACAGCTTCAAACAGCTGTTTATATTCATGTTCTGCATCCCCATCAATCTTCTGCTTCGTGACGCTGTTACCCCACGCAGCCCATATTAGGCGTCCTGATATACAGTATGTAATGTCATAACCCAGAACTATTCCCAACTGGGGGCGGGGGAAGAATGCAATATATTCTGCACAATATGTAGCACATCTATCATTATGTAATCTAAGAATAATAGTCTCCCTCTGCTCAAGGCCAACAGCCTGCAGGAACAGACCCACACTCTGTGAAGATTGGAGAACATAATCAAAGTGTAGCTTTTCAAAAATACCAAATTGTTGTGTCTTTTACAGCAAAAACATTTCCCTGGTTACTGTATGATTCACAGATCTGTTGAGGTCATACAAGGCCCTCAGTTCAACTTCCTCTTGAGGGTGTGTCGCTTGGCAACAAAAACAAACCAACCAGATATTGCCAGCGGTTCATCATCCACAAACCCTTGTGGTTTGAATGACGAGGAAGTCTTGATACAAACCTTAACAGTTTTAATTGCGCTGATTGTTATGTAACATAAGAGTTCAATGTGACAATTACAACACAACTGAAATGCATTTTGGGGATTGGCCAGGTTGATGTGCATCTATCACTGTCAAATGCTGCGCTTTCATAGAGAAAAGATTCAAGTCCTCACGTGTGACTCATTCCTGAAGTTTGCAACTGCTTCTGAGAAAAAACCCAAACCAGAGGAAGCAAAAAGAATAACTTTTCCCAAGATGAGAAGAGTTGGTTTGACTGAGGAGGAAATCTTAGCGGCAATTTATTGTGCTTTCTTTATTTAATTGAAAACCACTTACGTAGTTATTATTTGAATGCCTGAGAACACCAAGAGTATCTGGCAAAACCTTGATCTTACAGTATATTTGCAAATGTATTTTGCAGGTCTCCCTTGAAAAAGAGATCTATGATCTCAATGGGACCAATCTGGTTAAATATAGGTTTGAAATGAAATGTACACTAATGTAGATGAACATTAAAGTCTAATTCTCATTTCTAGCTAAATAGGAACCTGTACAATGCTGTCTCTTAATGTACTGTTCTAAGTGTAATTAAACACTAAGTGCACACTGTTGCTCCATGACACACTACCCGACTAAAATAGTAGCACGAGTGTCTAACAGCTGAGTAAACTCAACAAAAATAGATAATTGTGTAATACAAGTCACCTTATACAAAAGCTCAGAAGGGAGCAAGTGCATCAGGGTCAGAGGGGTGAATGAGGCTGTCCAATGTGGGCTATAGAGCACTCTTTGTCATGGACGCAAGCACAGAATGGCATTGTGGGATTGTTTTGTAAAAGGCTCTTTTCTAGTGCCAGCCTTCCATCGCTCGCATTTACCATCCCACCCTCCTCCGAGACGGCCTTGTACAGGGAAACAATGGTCCACCAGTTCACATTTCCTCCACTCTCTGCAGGGACGTGTCGTGATGTTTTCCCTCTCAGTGCAACCACAAGTGATTTAGTAGTACATCTTGTGGTCAGTTTAACAAAGTCATGGCCTCGGACAAGCACAGATAAAGGTCAGAAATAAAGTCAACTCTGTGAACGACTTTCCTCTGTTTGAGATGAAGTGGTGGCTTGTACATGTGGCCGCCATTTGTCATTTCTCCGCGCTGGACACTGCCACTTTTTCTTCAATAAATATTCCATCAAGAGTGCTTGAAGCAGCCGCTCTGTGGACTTTCACAGAAACCCAACACTAATGGCTCTTTGCTTTCAGCACAGCAACCCGAGATGCCATTCACACAGCCTCTCTTCTGACTAACTGCCCTTTAACTGGGCTCCACTCCTCACAGCCCCCTTCACGCAGACCTTTCCCCTGGAGCAAGTGGCTATAGGAGGGAGAAAGAGCAAGAAAAGAGGCACAAAAGTTCTGAGGAAAGCGTTGTTTTTTTGTCCATGGTGTATGTAAGCAAAATGTCAACCTAGAGTCAATTTTGAGAGGGTCTGGGTGAATGAGGGGGGTCACAAAGGAAAGGACAGTAGAGCTAATGATGGCCATGCTATTCACACTTGCAGAGGTGTGGTATAAATACTTGATGGATTGAATGTCACAGCAGCAGCCTTATGACACTAACTATTACTGTCAAAAAATGTAAAAGACAACATTTCCTAGTTTGGACTAAATATCTTTGAACTTTTAAAAGGCTGGTTAAGAAAAATAAGACATTTCACAACATTACCTTAGTTTAAATTATATTGTGATATATATATATACACATAGTTTTTACATTTACTAACCAAATTATAATCTAGAAAATGATCTGCAGTTTAATCACTAATGAAAAATATTGATATTTTCAAAGTGTATCAGGACTTTGAACTGTGTCTGCAACCCTTTTTAGATGTTGTAGGCCAACATACTAACTAGTGTAACAAATCAGTATCTTGACCAACAAACAACAACTCAGGTCCATATGTTATCAAGCACACACAAACAGTTTCTGGGACAATATTTTAGGTACTTGAGTTAAAAAACCACCAACACTGTCAATGCCCTTCTTTTTGTTCATTGTAACATCTGTACATGTCTTAAAAGTGGCTGCTGCTTGCGTCACTGTTTGTCATTTTCCTGCCCAGGAGCCGGATGCTGCTAATCGAAGAAAAAACAGGACGTACACTTTACTGTAGCAAGAGAAAGCCTACTGAAGTGTGTCAGACAGAAGCGATTAACTGCTGCACCCTCAGTGGTGACCTTCATTTCCTGACATGCACTGTTTCAATGAGTCAAATGGGAAGTGAGCAGGAAAAACACTTTTTCTAAAAGTTAATAACAGTATCTCCTCCAGCACTGTGGATAATTAGTCAAAAACAGCCAATGTATAGTGAAGAAAGCCTAGATTAAATCTCAGAACCCAGCCAGGTTTTGTCTTTCTCTTCTGCAGAAATGAAAAGGCTGCATACTACAAGACAAAACACCAAGTCTAGGGAGAGAAAGACATGCAAGGAGTCTCCTGAGAGGCTGTAAAGAAGGACGGACATGGCTAACCCCTGGGGCTGTCAGCGTATTATGGAGAAAAAGTGTTCAGATTCTCTTCCATCCATCCCTGTACCTGTGTCCCAGTGGCATAAAACCAGATTTAACCAGCCGCCTCTGCACATCTTTTCAACATAGGTTCTAAAACCTTCGGTGAGAGGATGGAAACTCTGCCTGCTGTTTTGGAAAAATTGATTTCACACTAATTGGGCTTTAAAATGCTGATTCCTGCATTGTGATGCTCCGGGATGCTGAGGAAATGCTGATGAAAGAAGGAGCAAAAGGTAAACTAAGGCACATAATTAGATTTGCATGAGGGACCAAATGTTCTGGTTTATCTGGAGTTAAGTACCGTCTAGGAATAGTGTTATATTTCTAGTGCTCCACTTAATAGACACAAGGCCTAATACCTCTTCCTTCAGCTGCTCAGCCCTGAATCTCACAGCTTCTTAAGAGCTTAGGGACCTGATCAAGCATCACAACAAACTAATGAAAGTGGAGGACTTCCAACACTCAAAAGATCAATGTGAGCAGAGTTAGAAGGTCTTTGGGCTTGGTGTTCAGTA